TAAGGTAGTTCGACTGCATCAGCAAGGTCTCTCCCAGGCAAAAAATTCCAAAGCAGACTGGGGTTTCAAGATGTGCTGTTCAAGCTCTTTTGAAGAAGCCAAAGAAACGGGCAACGTAGATGCAGTGGTCGGCCAAGGAAACTTAATGCAGCAAATGGAAGACACATTATGCTTACTTCCCTTCGACATCGGAAGATGTCCAGCAGTGCCATCAGCACAGAACTGGCAGAAACCAGTGGGACCCAGGTATACCCATCTACTGTCTGAAGAGGTCTGGCCAGAAGCTGTCTTCATGGAAGAATTGCGGCCAAAAAGCCATACCTCTGATGTGGAAACAAGGCTAAGCGACTCAACTATGCACAAAAACATAGGAACTGGGGTGCAGCAAAATGGCAGCAGGTGCTCTGGATTGAGGAGTCAAAATCTGAAATATTTGGCTGTACCAGGAGGCAGTTTGTTCATCGAGGGGCTGGACAGTGGTACAATAATGAGTGTCTGCAGGCAACAGTAAAGAATGTGGGGGTTCCTTGCAAGTTTGGGGCTGCATTTCTGCAAATGGAGTTGGAGATTTGGTCAGGATCAGTGGTGTCCTCAATGCTAAAAAATACAGTGGTACCTCGGGTTACGAACGCCTCTGCTTACGAATTTTTCGGGTTACGACCAGCTCCGGCCCCAAAAATTTATCTCGGGTTGCGAACCACCTCGAGTTACGAACCGGATCCGCGGCCATTTTCCTTGCTGCCATGCGGTCGCGACTTCCTGTGGGCAAGATCGCGGTAGCAAGGAAACGTTCGGTGAGGCTTGTGGTGTGTTTTGTGGCATTTTAGAAGGTTTTTGGTGTGCTTGTCAGCATGGCAATTTCATTTCTGGAGGGTTATGCAGCACAGGAAAAAACAACTGACTTTAGACAGGTTTTTCCCCAGAACTGAGCCTGCAGCTAAGAGGCAAAGAAGAGAGGAAACCCCTAAAGGAGATCTCCCTGATGACCTGTTGGAAGGGGACTCTCCCTCCAAACAATAACTGCCTCCCCGCCCCATTCTCCCTCTTCATACTGTGCTGTACTTTTTTTCATGTTTTTGTGGTTTAAAAATAAAATGCATATGT